TATAAGTCACTATATTTCTCAATTTTTAAAGACAACTTTATAGAGCATATATCGACGTTGTTAAATATGTTTATCAAGGTCTAAGTAGGTTTGGGGACGAATTTTATATAGCTCACTATTCTGCTTTTGATCGTGTAAGCAATATCTAGTGACCATACTTTAATTTGATCATATCAAATTTAAAAAAAAATAACATTGACATTTGTAATATCAATAACTTAATTCAAACAATTCCATTCAATATTTCAAAGGTATTTTTTTTCTTTAGCTAGAGTGCGATACATTTGTTGTTAGTTTGACTTTGTTTGGCTTTAATCCTCTGTACTCGGTGTTGGAGCACAGGGCAGTTTATTGACTTTGTTTAGAAGTATGAACATGCTAGGTATTTGATGCATAAAAACAGGGAGAGAAGAGAAATATTGGATGTATTTATGGAGGCAACGCTTTGTGTTGTCGATTCTGTGTCACTTGGAGGATGTGTAGACTGTAGATTAGATCTAGCCGTGGAGGTTGTAGCAGCTCCCGTTGTTGTTGATGTTGTGATTGTAGACTCAGTCACAGCAGCCATTGAGGTGGTAGTATATGTAGCCTGGATGGTGGTAGCTTTCATGGCTGGGTCTGGGGTGGTAGCCTTTGGGTGGTAGTATCTGTTCTGATAGCTTGGATGGTGGTAGGCTTCATGACTGGGTCCGGGGTAGGCGTGTCTGTGGTAAAGTGTTTCTTCCAGACTTTTTCTCCGGGGGTGGTGGGGGACTTGATATTTTCGGGTGGGGGCGGACACTATTTTAATATTTTCAGGGGGCGGGGGACTGATAAAAGTATATTTTTTCTAAAAAGATTCCATTTCACTCGTGGGCGCCGAGGGGGGGGGGGGGCGGTAGACTTTGACCCCCACCCCCTCCCCCACGAAGAGATGCCTGGAATTAACTCTGCTGTGGTAGCCTGTATAACGTTTACTTGTGTTTGTTGAGGTGACCCGCGCCCGAGTTAGTCCGTGTCACACACAGCCTGCACGTTTTATGATTTCGTTCATTGTTTTGTTTGTCCAAAAAATATGGTACGCCCAATTTTGTTGGTCGTATACAATAGCTAATTCGTCTATAAAGACACACACACACACGCAGACACATGGATTTATTAAGAGACAAATATATATATATATATATATATATATATATATATATATATATATATATATATATATATATATATACATATATATATATATATATATATATATATATATATATATATATATATATATATATATATATATATATATATATATATATATATATAATATATATATATATATATATATACATACATATATATATATATATATATATATATACATATATATATATATATATATATATATATATATATATATATATATATATATATATATATATATATATATATATATATATATATATATATATATATATATATATATATATATATATATTTCTGTTAATAAATCAGATAAGGCGTATCCGCCTACATTCTTTTAAAGAGCCCCCTACATTAGGAACACGGTGTCAGACGATACTCTATGAATAAACCGCATTTGGCGCCCCAGCAGTAGTGTAACTATGGCTTTTAAGAATTGCCTGCGATCTAAGATGTTCTTATAAATCACACGATCTCTCATAGTAGCGTAGTTTACAAAGTGAATTATTGTCATGGCTAATTTCGCCTGTGCGTTATTGTTTTAGTTTTGTTTCGTTGATTGTGGCGGTGAAAACATTACGATCTCGAACTCTACTTATTCTCATTACGTCACTTCCCTCCCCTTTCAGCTGACCATGCAGAACGGCTGGACTGTTCAGTCGGGCTGAATCGAATAAAAATTATATAAAAAACTCAATGCATCAAAAATATTTTTTTTATTTAGCTGTTCTGTTCATTATCATCTGTATGTATGAACGGCTGCGTGGTCTGAAAAGAAAGAAAACAAGTTAATTAAAAAAGTCTAGTGACATTTATGCGCAATTTCCTTATGTTATCTAAAAATAGCTCTGACGTATAATGCTGGGGTGCGTTCAAGCTAGAAGAACGATCGGTTTGTAGGTGTTTATGTAATTTTAAAATTTGTGACCGAACGAGAGGATATTTTTGAAAACTTTCTTCTGCAATATTGTTCTAAATTATGCCAGGAATCGATTGGAACATGTTTCAAGTCGGTAAGTGGTCTGGTTGCCGAGATATGGGCCAAAAACTGGATTTTTTCGAGGTTTTTTGGCTTTTCCGGGAAATACATGAAAGAAACCCGGTATTTTTATGACCTATGCTCATTCTCGTAACTTGCTTAACATAATTGCTTTTGGAACTAGTCATCGATATTGCTTCGTTGAGGAGGTAAAAAAAAGTTTCCCTTTCAAACCTGGCGGTCTATGGGGCAAGTGAAGTAGAGTTCACTTGTTTCTATGACCTCGGCATATGAAAGAGATGGTGTGGTCAGCACTATGCCCAGCCGCCTTTACTTTCCCTAACGTGAGTTAGGTACCCATCAGAGTTGGGTGGACTCAGGGACGTTCTACAGCATTGAACCCGAATTCGAACACGTTCGTTGAGGAGGAGATACGACTTAAAGCCCGGACACACATTCATCCATACATTCATTCATTCATTCATTCATCCATCCATTCCCAGAAATGACGAGTTAATAAACGCAATTCTCCAGAATGGAAATTGCGCTAAAAAATCAAATATGTAATTGAAAAATCTAAATATTTTCACTGCTTAAAAGCTAGTGTAATGAAAGAGTGTTACCATTTTCGTACAATTTTTTAGACTATAATTTTTGTGTAAACGGAATTTGCATTATAGAAGTATTGTAAATGGAGCTGGAATGAATGAGCTTCACTAAAATTTCCCATGTGGTGCGTGTGTATATATATATATATATATATATATATATATATATATATATATATATATATATATATATATATATATATATATATATATATATATATATATATACATATATATATATACATATACATATATACAGTCGAAATGTTCAGCTATATGGATGTGTAAAAATTCGAAAATTGTCAAATATTCTTTTTTTG